TAACTTGGAAGCTAAATTTGGCAAAACAATTTTGCCCATTTGTGCTTTGTTTAAGAAGACTTAGTTGATTTGATTTATTAACGTCAATTAGCTGAGCTTCCCTTTATGGGACCTTTAGATCTAGGAATCTTCAAGTATTGTCCCGACTTCAAATTTCGTTCCTCAAGTCGCAGCTCAAAGAAGATTTCATTGAGATTTTTATACAAATCATGTTTTGGAAAGCATGCGATATTGTACCTAGTGCTTGAGATTTTCTTGAATTTTCAATTTTGCTCCTCCACGGCCGCCATTTGAGGTTTGGATGGCTGAGGTCCCTTGATTCACTCAAAAAATCCCTTTTCCATGGTTTGTTCAACTGATGCCCCTTGATTGCTTTTTATGGGTACAGACTGGTGAATGACTTTGGGCCTTTTCTTTAGCTTGGATATGCCCTTATTGACTTTGAGGATTTAGGCATCTTCAAGTTGTACTTCGGGTTTTAGACACCTTACCTTCTCATTTATTCTTCTTGAAGAAGTAGTTTTTAAGCCCAATTAACATTTGTCGTTAATTTTCATAAGATGCTTAGATCTAGGTTCTAGAGGGATTTTTTTCATTTTTTTTATTATCCTTAGATGAACAATATTAAAAAATAAAAAAATAATTTTGAGTTTATAAAAGCTAAAATCTTGAAATTCACAAAATGAATGATTTAGATTCGTTTTTGAAAGGGACTCATTTTGACCATATTTAGGGTTAAAATTGAACTTTTGTTTTCTGGGGGGATTGATTATTGAGATAACGATAGTGTGTGTGCAAAATTTGGGTTCATACAAATACCACAAACATGGTTTCCTAGAAGTGTCGTTGCATTATACTATGATATGTGTCTATATATATATATATATTGTGTGTGTGTGTGTGTGTGTGTGTGTGTGTACGTGTGCGTATATGTGTGTATGTGTGTGTGTGTGGAAAAGCCTTCCCAACTCTTATAGGTGAAAATGAATAATGATTTCACCTATTCTTATCACCGTCCAAAGTTCATCGCACGGTCACGATTATTCAGTAATATTTCACTTTTTTTATTTTTTTCTACAAATTCTAATAACCTAAAATTTGGAGCGTGTGAACATATTAAGGAGGCACACCTAATAAAAATCTACAAAAAATAATTCGTGAAAACCAAATTGATCAAAATACCCCTGAAATTTGGGGGTATTTTGATCAATTTTTTAATATAAACTATTTTTTTGATATTTTTTGTAGATTCATCTGTTTTTATGAACACACTCTCTAAATTTCAGGTCATTTCGATTTGTAAAAAATAAAAATAAAAATAAAACACTACCGGATAAGCGTAACCGTACGATGAAATTTATATGGTGATGAGGGTAGGCGAAATCACTGCTCATTTTCGACTATAGGCGTTTTGTAGTATCTTCATAT